TTGCTGATCAACTTATAAAAACAAGACAGAGCTTGTGGCCTCAAACAAGGTTTGTACTAACATTTCTGACAAAGGCTGACATTCCAGAGTGTCTAATCACTTCCATAACCTCACAAATTTCCTTCAAAAAAAAAAAATCCTGATACCTTATATCTTTACCTGGCCCTTATTAAAATGTAAGCCTGCAAAAATAAATAAGCAAACAAACCAAGTCTAAAGTCAAATGAAAAACTAGGGGGAAACAGCTGCAACATGCAGATAAAAGGAGCCTCTACAAGGCAACTTAACAGCACACAAGAACACCTACAACCCACAGGGGGAGGGTCTAGCTCAGTGGCAGAGCGCGTGCTTAGCATGCCCGAGGCCCTGGGTTCTACCCCCAGTACCTTCATTAAAAAAATAATAATAATATCTACAACCCAAAAGAAAAATGAACAAAGAAAATCAACAGCTTGCATATGAAGGAATCCAGATGACCAATAAGCATCAATCTTACTCATAATTAAAGAAACATAAATCGCCAGAACAAGATGCCATTTTTCACCTGTCAAATAAGCAAAAATCAAGATTGATAGAACTTAATATGGGCAAAGGTGAGGAGAAACAGCCTCTCATTCACCATTAACTGGAGTGTAAACTGAGCATTCTAGGGGGCAATTTGGCACTATGCTTTAAAATTGTCTATGCACAAATTCTCTGCCCTAGCTATTTTACTTCTCAAAATGTTCATTTTCACACAAGACAACGTTCAAGGACGTCCACTGCAACACTCTTTAAAACACACCTTAAAGCAGGGAACAACCAACATGTCCTTTGGCAAGGACGACTTCAATAACTTTAGATATGTCCAATCAATAAAATACTCTGCAGCAGAGAAAAATATGAAGGAGAGCTTCAATTCCTAAGATACATTAAGTGAACAAAAACTGAAAAACAACATATAGAATACAAACCATTTGTTTCTAAGAAAAAAGATAATAGGAATATGGAGGCGTACTCATATAGGCATGTGAGTTTCTTAAAGGATACAGAAGAAACAACTGTGGTTACTGCTGGGAAATGAAAAAGCAGGAAGGTAAAGGAGCACATTTTATGGTACACTCTCAGAATCAGGATTTTTAAACAATAATATCTGTAACATATCACAGTGATAAATTTATAAATAAAATTTTCAATTGTCTGAAGTTCTGAAATTTACTTTATTCCCAAATATGCCAGATAAAATGTCATTTCCCCCAACTTACCAGCTACAGTCAAACCTATATTCTTTAGCTCCATTATATATTCAAAGAACTATATGAATGGACTGCCTCCTCTACACCTAAATTTCCTAGCCACCATAAGGCCATTTTCCCCCTAGTCTCATGCTACAAAAGCCTTTCTAGCCTCATTCTCTCCCTGGAAACTCCTCCTAGAACTATGCTGTGAGGACTCCCTGCCACCACCGTTTTCTGCCCACTTCACTCAGCTCCCTCATCAACAATGCTTTCTCAAGGAAGCAGCTCCTCTTGCCTCAGATTAAGTCACATCCACTAGTTACACAGTCTCACAGCACCATGTATTGCTCCACGTCACTGTTGTAATTTATGCGTCTGTGATTATTCGATTAATGTCCGTCATCCACGCTAGACTGTAAGCACCTTGGTGCAGGGCAAGTCTTTGCTCACTTACATTCCAAGTATCAGAGCAGCATGTTATAGGTGCTAACTAAATAGGTTATCTATTAAGTAAATGACTCCTTAGTGCCTGGCATGGAGTAAACACTGAGTAAATGGTATTCATTTACATGGCATCGTAGGGTATGTGTTAGGAAGAGGGTAGGGATAAATGAAGGAACTGTCAGACAACCGAGAGGACCCAGTTGGAGTTGGGTAGCATTAATTTGGGTCTTTAGTGAATTTTTTTCAGCAGTGTTCAGTAGGCCTGGAGCAAGAATGATAATTCAGAATGAGGAACTGGCTAATGGACACAAAGGAAAGGATTTGCAAAAGCATCTTTAAGACAACTGACTGGGAGGTATGGCCTTGAAGGAGAAGAAGCAAGCCTTTTTCCTCTGCTTGGAATACCCCCTCCCCACACCTCTCCCTTGTCTTCTGGGCCTAGTAAAACCTGTTAATCCTTTACAACCCACATCAGATGCCCCCTCCTCTATAAAGGCTTCCATATGTCCCAAACAAAAGTAATCTCTTCTTCCTCTTTGGCTCCCAAGATCCTCCAGGTTTAGTAATCATTTAACCATCAATAACACTCCTCTTGTATCTTGATAAATCCAAAGGCGTCAATCCTTCATTTGATCCATAAACTGCATCCAACAGTGAACACATTACTCCACCATGAATTCCACAATGCTAGACTCTTCAAATTGTCCTCATGCCTCATGAGATGTTCATTCTGTCTCCTTTGCTGGGTCTTCATCTCCCCAAACCTATAAAGGCTAAATGCCCAAGTACCAGATCTTGTGCTGCTTCCCTTTTCTACTTACATTCACTTCTTTGGTGACTGTCTCCAGTTTCCTGACCACCTTGTTCACTGACAATTCCCAAATGTTCTTTTCAGGCAAAGACTTCCCTACTGAACTCCAGACTTGGTAGATTCAAATGCCAACTCAACATCTCCACTGGGACAACTAACAGACATCTCCAACTTAACACGTCATACCTGTACTCCCAATCCTCCCTCACAAACCTACTCCTCCCATAGTAAGCCTCTTTTCAGTTAATGACACCTCCACCCTTCTCGTTGCTCAAGCCCCACTGACAATTATCTTACTTTTACAACCCACATTCAATCACAAGCAAATCTCTTAGCATCACCTACAAAATACACCCAAAACTGAACTGCAACTCACCACAGTCACTTCTTTCCAACTGTGAAGCCACTATCATCTCATCTGACTTATTACAACACCTTCCTAATTAGTCTTCTGGCGTTGTCCTACCCTCCTTGCCAACAATCTGCTCTTAACACAGCAGGCAGAGCGATTCTATTAAAAACCTAAGTCAGACCATGTCACTCCTCTGCTCAGAACTTTCCACTGGTTATTTACCCACTGGACTGTTCCTTCAAAGGAGGATTCATGTTGTATGACATTTGTATCTCCACATGACTAACATCAAGTCTTGCCATATATTAGGTACTTAGTAACTATTTACTCACTAATTGAAACCAGTGAAAGTAAACTGGAACCAAATTTTGGAGAATCTCAATATCAGATTACAGTTTGAACTTAACAGATATTAGGAAGTCACCATTTGGGTCCAAAAGAAATTTATACAATAATGTACATCCTGGACCTGTTCCCATCCCTATGCTAAGTAGAGTTATATACAATTTTGAACTAAGCCAGGGAACAAATCAAATATATAATTTTGCAGAGAACTAGAGAGACATCTGCAGATGTTGCACCAGAATTCTATTAATGTAATGAATTTTGCACTGCATTACCTTAAAAAATAGTGGAACATACACACAACAGTCTCTCAATAAATACTGCTCTTTGGCAGATAGTCCATGTTAGTGTCACCTGTTAACTCTCCTTCAGACTTAAAGTCCCAGAGAAAAGATGGACTTCTTCCTTTTAAAGATGTTAGCCTCTAAAACACAAACTTACCCCAAAGTCTGATCATAGAAAAAGATATAAACTACAAAGAGGTTGCTCAAGATTGAGATGAGTAATTACATCAGAACACAATGAAATTACTTCTGATGTTTAATTCTAATATTTAATCTGAAGAGTTTTCAAAATTATAGATATGATGCAGCAAAATGGTTACCTTCCAAACCATGGAATTTGCTGGTGACAATATTCTCATCTCATCTCAGGGCTATGATGCAGGTTAAATGAGTAACTTTGGTAAAGTTTTTAGAAGGCCTGGCTCAGAACTCAATACATTAGCTAGTAATATTTGTTATTATTTTACTAAAGTGAAAATGATCAAACACCCTAACCCACTGGGGACTATTTAGAGCCACACTTGAAGGGTCAACTGTCCGGAAACAGTAGCTGAGATAACACATTGTGAAGAGTCATTTGAAACATTTAAAGCAGTTATGAAAATTTTTATCACCTCTGAACTGTGATACATACAACATAACTATTTGAAGGCAGCTATAACACCTTTCAGCTCAAAATTCTTTGGATTATTTTGAAAAACCATTGTTCACACTACCATTATCTTATCTTTCAATAAAATAATTGAGTTCTCTCATTTCCACCAGTCACAAACGATTCTTGGAATTTCAACAGGGAATTATTTGGTTATTTTCGGATCCAGAGTCAACATACGATTAAGTCTCAGACCAGTCTTCTATAAGGCAGTCCAAACAGATTAATAGTAGCAAACATCTCACTGGGACCGATACATCTTTATCAAGCCAAAATTGAACTGCAGTCAACAAACAGCAAGACACGAAAGATCTTTTCAAACACAAGTGTGAGTTACACTAAACTTTACCGGGCCACAAAGAAAAACCATTTTTTTGAGATTCCATTAGATTTCGCCTTAAGGTCTAAATCAACCTATCACCTCGGGGGGGAGGGGGGTGGTAATACTGCAGCGGCAGACAGTCCGTCGTCATGTTCGTGAACGATAAACGTGGATGGCATTGGAAAGCTACACCTCTACACCTTCCACTTTGGCCTTCCTCCCGCAACAAGGTTTGAAGGCAACTGAAAATTAACCGTGAAGTCACGTGCTTTCAATCTCTCCGCCCTCCAATAGTTGAAAGGCGGAGCTAAGAAGCGAAGAAAAAGCGAAAGGCCGGACGCGGAGAGGCGTGAGCGGCCAAGGTAGGCCGAAGCCAGCAAGCAGCCACAGACAAGCGGAAATAGGGGTCCCGCAACGACGCTGCCCCAACGCTCGCATTCGCGGAAGGCTGCGCAGGCCGGCCCCGCTCCTCACAGTCAGCGGGAGGGGTTACAGGGTGAGGGGTGTCCCAGGAGAAGCGGACTTAGACAGAAGCACGAGAAAAACCCGAACGCCAGCTCTGAATAATAATACCTTGCGGGCCTTCCACTCCTGCCTCCCGGAAAGCGGTCGGCGGCGGTGACGTCAATGGCGCGCCGGCTCTCTCCGCGGCGCGAGCGGCGCTCTCCGATGACCTCACGCCGCTCGCCCCGCCTCTCCGCCCCTTTTCCTTCCGCCCTCAGAGGCGGTCCTCTCAAACGCCTCGGGCCGAAGCTGTGAGAAGAAGCTGGCGCGGGATGCGGGCGCGTTTTTCTGGAATTGTATTTGGCCGGCGCCCACTGTAATACAAATTGAGCGTATTTAACCAGAAAGAAAAAGTTCGTTACTAAGGCTTTGTTCAGGTTTTTACGTTCCCTGAAATCCATTCCAGGGCCCAGGTTCTTCTACACTCCCAATGTCCGCCTCAAAATTGGCCTCCAAACCAGTTTCCCAAATTATTTCTGGTGAAAGGACGGGTTCTATAGTTTTCCAATCCACCGCTAAGAGATTCTTTGTAAAATACATTAAAAATGAATTGGCTGGAAAATGGGGTGAGGGGAGAATAGGCAAAATGCAAGCCCAGATTTCTAATTATTTCAATAAACATAAAACTACATTTCAATAAATACAATCAAAACTAACATGAGAAAAATTGCGAAGGCTGTACGTAGTGTTCATTGAACGACTAAGAGTATCCGTTCTACATTCCTGACTTCATTATTCCCCAATTGTAATTTAACAAAAAGTTACGCATGAAAAAGCGATTCCATGTATTAAATGCCTATCGAAGCACTTTGAACAAACACCGTGTGTGTCAATAGCTAAAATGTTTTAACGGCAAATGAGCTTTTCTGGTTTGCTACTATAATCTAGTGGGATTAAAGACAAGGTTTCTGGTTGAGGGTGGTGTCTAAACTGTTCCTCTGTTTTGTTTTCACACTCAGTAGAGAAACTAGTCTCACAAAGGGAAGTTGATGGGAAGAGGAATTTTCATAGCAATTGCTGCAAGCTAAGAATATTCATTTTTTAACTTTTATCTAGAATAAAACCAATGATGACATTTTCAGAATTCTTCAATCCGTCATCGTCAGTTCCAACAATTTATCCTTTAAAGTTATCCTTATAATTAAATTATCTCTTAATGAAAGAAATGGATTCCAAATTTTATACATTGCTAGAGTCACAATCACAAACTAACCTTAAAATACCACAAGTTGCAATACGGTCCTACTATGCATGACCAGTACACAATTCACACAACGTGCAACTCACAATGTGAGTTCAACAACATGCAAACTAAGCTATACACTATTCTAGAAACCCAATTCACTGATCTTGGTTGTTGGAGTGATGCTATATGGTCCTAACGCTTTTTAATGATTATTCTCAATTTCTGCATTCATTGTGGACAGGTAATGATAAATAATTCAAGGATTGGCACAAGTTCACAGACTACACTTTGAGTAGCACTGTCCTTGAGAGTTGTGTGCTTAAACTTACCACAAAGACTATTGAGACCTGGGAGGACTGAAATATCAGAATATCAGAATAACTCAGAACCTGACCGTTCATCCTGCACCAAAGTGAGAATGAGGCTTCAAGGCAAATTGTCACATCTTGTGTGGTTTAGGTCCTTGGGAAGCAAACACTGAAATGGAGTTAGGAGCACAAGGTGTTTGGGAGTGTGGGGGATGTAGGAATGTCTCTGAAAGATAAAGAGGAAGGAAACAGGATTGAGCAGAAAGCCTCAGACCATGATGGACATCTGACAGTCTCTCACCAACCCAATGGTGAGTTCCACAGCAAAGAGTGCCCCTCAGAGCAGACCACATGGGGCAGAAATAGCCAGACACTAGCACCCACCTTTACCTCTGTGTTTAGTTATTGGCAAGAGCATGGCTTCAGCTTTAAGAATGAGACAGAGCCTAGAGTTGCTGCCAGCTGGCAGCTCTCAGTTAACTGCACTTCTGCAACCAAATGGTTAATTCCTTCTTAAAGGGAGATCTGAGGGGCACACCTCCTGAACCACCATACATCTAACCATCAATACCACAGTAGCCCTGCAATCCCGTAATTTATTCAACGAATATTTACCAAGTCCCTATTAAATACTAGACTCTATTCTACACATTCTAGGTAGAGCAGTGAACAAAGTCCCACCCTCGTATGATGCTTACTTTCAAATTTACCTTTAGGAGCACCTTCCCCTCTTCTTTTTGCCTCCACTGTACTCCCATATTCTTTTCCTTCACAGCACTTTTTTCTCCTATGACTCCTGATTCGAACATTTAAGCCTTCCAGGTGCGTGCCTGAGTATTGCTGCCAGTTGCATGCCAGAGAATGCCCAGATGGTGAGACTTTTCTACCTTGAAACCCAGAGTAGGTGTTCCTAGAGGATGAGCCATTGATGCCATCACCATCTCTACTGTTAAGACCACATACTCAAAATTCCTAGGGGAAAACACAGGCAGGACACGGACATTCTATACACAGCCAGTCTTATGCTAAGGAGCTGAAACTGATTAAAGGATCGTAGAGCTAAGATTCCTTCCCGTTGACAGCACACATTTGCATTTACTTTGTCATTTTCTTCTTTAAAGGTTTAAAGGAGCTCCTGATAACAGTATTTGTGCTTTGTCTTCGTGTATTCCCTTCCTACTCACTATTCCATAAGCTCCCTAGGAAGCTTTGGTGTCTGCAGATAAAAGTGCCAACTCATTTCTGATTTGCTTCCATCAGAATCATATTATCAACTTTACAAGATGTTAATTAAGGAATAAGAGACAATTGGGTGTGTTTTATGAGGCCATGATGACAACCTCACATGCCCAGTGGGTGAGCCAGCCCTGAGGGTGAAAATGCAAGTGTTTCCGGCTGTTGCTCACTCAGGGTTAACAGCGCCATTAAACACACCTTAACCTGGAGTTTCTTCTTGTTCCATAGTTGGGGATGAATCATTTCTTTTGTTTGGGGATTTTGCCCCAGCAGATCCTCTGAGGCTGAAGGAAAATTCTAAAGCTCTGTCTCCCAACTTGTCCCCTGGTTCCTCTCTCTCACCCCCTCCAGGGAGGAGTAGCTGGGAAAGCTCTCACTGAAGTCAGTGGACCACCGAGAAGCGAGAGCCACATTTAAAGGAGTTTCACAACTGCCTTTTGAAGGCTAGGAAACAGCATAGCTGATTCAGACAGGAGAGATACACACCTGAAGAAATGTTGGAGTGTCTCATTTCTTCACAAAGGATCTCATCTTTCCTATTTCAGTGAACACTTTTCCATTTGTCTTTGCTTCCTAGGGCAACATGGCTTCAGACCTCATGGCTGAAGTTCACCCAACTACATGATGAGCACATGGGGAGTCATCATACTATGCTATTTTTTTTAATATAAGCAACAGAAAAATAGTTTCAGGTTACCATTTCCAATATCGGCTCCTTTTTAAAATTAATAATTCTGTAATTAAATGGGGATGTCATTTTTAAGGAGAAAAAAATAAAGGAAAGCCGTAAGATCCTTCTGACCTTAAATGAGTGTGTTCACCATTTAGTAAGTATTCGGATTTGAACTTTTTTTTCCACCTCTCACATTTGATAGTTGCTCTGTCTTGGTCCCAGCAAAACCCTCTCTACTCAGGATTTCTTCACTGTTCTTCAAGGGGTAGGAAGGGACCTTCTCAATAGAAAGAAAGACTTGACTTTGCCCTGTACTCACTACCCATTGAGATGGGGGCCATGTTGGAAGTCTCAATACTTGAAGCACTAATTTGAAACAGAAAATGTAAATACATGTTTCAGAAGCATAATCCCTGTCTCCCAGCTGCCAGTCCTTGAAGTTTAATAAACTACATAAAGTACCTACCGGCAAGCAACTAGAATCTTACACATGGATGCCCATCAAGGCTTACATAACCTCTAAGGGCCTTACCCATGGCATCTCATTTATTGAGCATCTACTATATATGCTAAGGCTTCTAAGACTCTATATGGTGAGAAACATGAAGATGCTTTGCAATACTTGTCTCTCCTCCTCTGAAGTTTCCAAAGCAAGTTGATGTGTCCACCTCGGTACCACCCTTGCATCTTTGTCACTAGGGGACCTTCAGCAACATGTCCTGTTTTTCTCTGTGGTTCTGTGGTGTTCTCATCTCTTAGACCTTTAGTGTCCAAGTTCTGCAAGTGGTTGTTTAAAAGACTTCATCATTTCATTTCTATGTAAGAACTAAAAATAACCTAGCTAGTTATAAGCCCAAACCTGTTGAAACAATGGCTGGATTAAATAATGCCTTTAATAGACTGTCACACTGCATTTCAATATACTGAAAAAACCAAACAGAACAAAACTGTTTATTTGGACCTGGAAATCTACCATAAAAACAATCTCAAGAGGAAAATCATTTGGACAACTGACCAGGTTATGTGTTCTCATGGGTTCTTATGTACACATAAGAAATTCTTCCACTTCTATTAAAGATATTAAAAAATTAAGTCCTCATTGCAATGCAGTTCTGACCCTAACTACCCCGAGGCAGATCAGATTTCCCAGGCTAAGGACACAGTTCTCAGCAGACTCCCCTCACCTCAGACATCAGCCCAAGCTCCTGGGTTTTCTAGCCACTGCATTTCTGACAAACTGGCCACAAGTTTGGAGGTTTCTACTACCTTCTCAGGCTCAATAACTCACTAGAATCAACTGACAGAAGCCAGGAAAGTGTTATGATGACAGTTTTATTATAAAGGATCCAAATCAGGACCGGCCACATGAAGAGACACATAGGGCAAGATCAGAGAGGGTCTCAGCTACAAGCACTTTGTGCCCTCAAGACAGAGCACCCTCCCAGCACATCCATGTGTATCAGCAACAGGGAAGCTCACCCGAGGTCCAGGTGTTCAGAGTTTTTATTGGGGTTTCATTGCATAGACAGGAGTGACTGAATCACTGGCCTCATTACTGAACTCCATCTCCAGTTCTCCTCCCTCATTGGAGGGAGGCTAATATGCTACTTATATGGCCTGGCTCAGAACCCCAACCCTCTAATCACATGGTTGATCTTTCCAGCTGGGCCTACCCTCATCCTGAAACTCTCCAGGGACCCGTCGTGAGTCACCTCATTAGCATAAACTCCAGAGAGGTCTGAAGGGCCCACCATGATCATCAAAGACACGCCTACCACTTGAGAAATTCCAGTAA